GGAGTCTTCCTCTGCGGATTGGCGCCTGTGCCGTGGGATGATCTGCTGTATCTCCCACCGTACAGATGTTTTAACTATCGGACGGGCTCCCACCGCAGGGCTGACTTCGCCGAGCCGTTGCTCAGGCGCGACTATTGCCGCAACTGTGGACGATTGGACACAATCGTCGACAATTGCCCGCGGTGTCGCCTGGCATACTCGCTGGAGCAGGCGAGGATTGAGGCGACTCGAGATATGCTGGCCCTGACTTTGAGTGAGCTGCTGTCGAGTGGGCCATCTGTTTCTCAAGATAGGCCAGCTTTACAGCAGGAACCTCAAGTTCCGGGACCTCCAAAATCGGAACAATCGTCGGCCGTGACCACCGCCCCGGGGGCGATTCGTAAACCATGCCATCGGTCGAGAAAGGCGTACCGGAAAAGACTGGCACGCAAGCCGGCCAAGCTACAAACCGCCGGCGTGGAGTCTCATTCGTGCGACGGGACAGGTCTGCTCTTGATGGAGGTCGCCCCGGTGGAAGCATCGGAGGCGCCTCCACCGATGATGGCTAACGCAAACGGTTTTCGGCTCAGTAGCGCAGACTCCCTCACTCTAGTTACTGAGGAATTAGGAACCCTTAAATTTAAGGATATGGTTTTTCTTTTGGTAATATAACTGACTAAAAAGCGAGTACGCGCGCGTTATGTCTTGTCATGTCGTTGGCTCGATCTTTCATAACTTTAGTTTCTTCTTTAATAACTTTCATCTTTAGTAACTCTTGAAAATTGTGTAATAGTGTCAGCGTGCAATGCCGATTAATTCACCACTATTACTAATTATTTATAAAGGGGGAAGGCAAGGGAGGCGGTGTATCGCTCCAGGCAAAGCAGGAAGGAGAACAGCGGGCAGAATAATTTCACACACTCAATCCGTTGACAAACCGTTTATTACAACGCACTACCTAGAGTGCGACGAAAGTACAAATATTTATTAACAATAACGCACAAACTTAATCTAAACGAGATGACCGGCACGTTAGCGCCATGTCACTTCGTTAACCGGCTCTAACAATTACTTGAATTACGCATTGTCGAAAACTACGCCGGCTCGGGGAAGCCTGGCGTCGCAACGCGAACCGTGAGAATCGCCGAGGAAAGGGAGAGATATAAAGAGAGAGAGGAATCGATGACCTGACCAATTTCGGCGGACGTCGCTGTTGCTGGCAGCCTCGAAGGTGTCCCACCGGCGGCTCAGCAGGAGGATCCTAGGCTGTTGTGTGACCGACGATCTGGCAGAAGAAGCTGTTGGGTATCTTGATGGCGGCTTCTTGCAGGAAATCTCCTGACAGTGGTGTCGGTGGTGGAGAAAATTCCCTCCGGCCAATCTGACGAAGAATGCCGACTTCTTTCACACAAAGGGGGGGGGGGCAGGCTTCACAGAGAAGGTCACCAATTGATATGGCCGATCACTCTCGCGTGCGTCGCGTAACTGTCGCGAGTGCATGAGAGCCGGTTTCTCACGCCTTTTCCCACCACTCGCCTCCTAATCGGTGGCACGCGGCAATGCTGGTCGCGACAAGTGCCGCGCGCCAAGCCCAACCACTAAAACTATTGCTTCTCTCTCTCTCTCTCTCTCTCTCTCTCGCACTCTCAATATTCGAACGCGTCGTCGCGTCCCTGACCTTGTCCTCCGCTCTCGTGCGTTACTGAAAATGAAAAGGGCAGGCGTCAGGCACGTGATAAAAACGTGCGCTTGATGCCGGCCGTGCGCCTTTGCCTAGGAAGGAGAGGGAGATAAGCACACGGTGTAGGCCATGACAGGCCTAGACCGTCACAATTGATTTAATTTATTTATTCATGTTATACGTTATTTTGACTACTTGTTTGGTTTTGTAATTAAATTGTCTAAAATTAGTTTCGTTATAAAGAGTTATAAGTTTTAGTTCCGTTCCCGAGTTAAATTAGAATTAAGCTAATCTTAGTATAAGTTAATAATTAAGGTATTATTATTTTAGCGTCTGACCAAGTCGTGAGTTTTTTGCCAAAGGAAAGGAAAAGAGAGACTTGCAAATGGGTAAAGCTTCGTTGTCTAGGAAGAGAACTTTGGCCTTTGGAGGAGCTGTAACGATGTAGGCTGGTCATAGCCTACATCGTGTGTCCCTTCCCTCTCTCTAACCTTGACGAGGGCTCACGGCTGGCATCAGACATATTCTTATTCTTCAGTACCTGATGCCTGCCTTTGTTTTTCAGCATTAGTACCCGAGTAAAAAAGGGAAAGAGAGAGCGTCCTACTACAGTGCGAGCCGGCTAGAGGGAGACGGGAATACGTGTTACATACAAGAAAGTAATGATAGGTTATCCTTGAATCAGAAGAAAACAAATATCTACACAGAGGGCCAGGTCAACTAGGTAATAAATCATTTTAAATACTGAAATTATTAAGAACTATAAATTATTTTTAAATATATGATATATCGATTGATGTTCTTAAATTGATGTGATATATTATTGTAACAGTACGGTCTAATCTGTTCTTTTTTCGGTTTTTAATACGCAATGGCTACACATCTCAAAATGAGAAAAAGTTCTATCAAAACTAAAATGCTACCTTATATATTGTTATCCTTAGATGTGTTAGAGCACTTAATCAAATTCATTACCATATCACGACCGTGACGTCACACTATGCAAAATCTGTAATCTCAAGCTTGTTCAATGCAGAAAAGCACTTTTTCAGTTTAGTTTTATGTTGGTCTTGATTTTAAATTTGTTATGAGTATTAATTAGGCAAGCCTAAGCGAAATTTAATTTTGAAGTATAAATCACTAATAATTTTGCAAGAAACAAATGCAATGTGAATTTGAATATCATACAGCGAAATTAGCATCTTAAGAAAGATAAGCAAGAATTCGATACATTGATAGCTAATTGTTCAACAAAGTTATTGGTAAATAAAAAATTATTTATTTATTTAAACATATAAGATTACCTTGCGAGATAGTGATCCAACTGTATGTAATTGTAAAATTAAAAAAATTGATTATTATCCGATTATCGATTTTATATTTGCAAAAGAAGTAATTTACGAATTAATTAATCAGTATTATTTAAATTCTGTTTGTTAAATTGATAATCTTGATCTTGGATAATGTTTCGTGTATCATAAATAATTTTAGGTGTGAAAAATTGCTATAATTTTACTGTAAATTTTATTTTATTTATTTAATTAATTTTATTTGATTATAATTCGTAAGACGATTTTTTCCCTAAGGAATGAATTATATTATAAAATTCAACTTTTTCAACTCAATTTTTCAAAACACGAATATTTTACTTCGCGTACGTGATTTCGCGGTAAAGCTTGTTGAAAAATTGTACAAATTTGCAAAAAAAGCTTTGTAGGGGCAATCCAACGTAAACAAGGACCTTTTTTGCGAGTATAAATCCGCTCGTTGTTACATCAAGAGTGATTCTAATCCTCTGATGATCTATTGAGAAAAAAGTAGCGTTAGACTATCTAATCTCACAATCATTTTATTTCCACCTGAAAGTTCAGCTAAATTTTTGTTGCGACGCTGTCTAGCCTTTCCCAGACAGATACGACAACTTAGCAGAATTTCACGTAACACATCGATGTGCCGAACCGTGTGAAATCAGACTATGTTTGTTGCTTGACGATTGAACACTCTGGTTGTTTTCGAAATACACTTGCTCTCTGTTGCAAGCCAACGAGAGTTTATATTCGTACAACTTCGACTCAGTGAAGTAGTAGTCTTGAAATATTAAGTCTTAATAATGAATTTCCGAAGGTTTTAGTAACGGTTGTTAATGTTCATGTAGGAACACCTCAATCAATACGAATAAGTCATTTTACTACTAACATTTTTATATATTATCATTTTATTTATATATTATCATGTCAATTTTTAGTTTACTGTCTGAAATTTAATTTACAGAAGTATCTTAGAATTAGACCTTGATTTATTATAACGTAGATTTGTTTAAACGTAACAACTAGAGATACATGAAATATTTTTCTGTATTTTTTTACATATAATATAATAGCACTATTCGTTTCATAATAAGATTTAGCTTCAAAATGCCAACAATGGTAAATATCGAAAAAACTGATATTTTAATGATTATTTTCTTATAATCATTATTTTATAGTTACTTTCCATTGGGTTCTTAAGAAATGGTGTTAGTTATGTTATTTATATTTTCTATTTTTTTTATTTTAGTCTTGTTATTTTTAGCTGCAAGTAAACATTGCTGAGCATGCCTCGACACGCTAGCAGAGCTATTACTGTTTATCCCAATTATCACAGGCTTTAACGAGTATTAATGTTTTGGACAATACTCGCATGACGTTAGGTGTCTCCTCTTTTGAGTGAGTTTTACGCCCTACCCATAGTAAGAGTCACAGGCTGGCAGCGAAAGTCGAAACATCAATTCATTTAAGCGTCTAACAAAAAGTGGAGATACAGGACAAGTATTTTAAAAAGTATCAAAGTACTTGATTAATCATACCTGGCTCAGTTTAAATTGTTGCTTCTGCTACTTAAAAAATAGTATTATCAGATTTTTTAAAAGCAATTTTTACATCAAATACCAAGATCTCTTTGCTCATATTGGCTCTCCTACTTTTTTACCAAAAAAACTTTATAACTATGGAATAAGAACGCAAACACAAATAAATTATATGAACATTCCTACTATTTTTAGTTATTATATATAATGTATGGTAGTAATATGATATTTTTCATAACGTATTCGCATGAAACAATTAGTTTCATAGTTAGTGAAATTTAAGCTTATGATTTAAAAAAATATTTTGTATCTTTTCAGCCGAAATCTTATAATGACTTTTTCATACAGTCAGCATTACTTTTTGTCATAGAGTAGTACATTTTATATTTTGATTAAATAACTATCTGACTGACCAGAAAACAGTTATTTTTGTAATTTATTCTTGTTAAAATATTAAATACAGTATATTAAAAACTTGTAATAAAAGTTATTTACCAAAGATGATTTTAATTTCAATTTCATTTCTTCGGCTGCACTACTAACAAGTTTCAGCCTATTTTGAGCCCATGATAATTTCATTTCTTTAGCGTTTTCAATTATTTTCAAATGTTTGATGCGATTTTGTAACTCCATTATTTCTGAGCATTTCATATGAATTTCTTCGTTCCGTTTTTTTACTTTATCTTGTACTTTTTCGTATTTTTGTTGAATATCTAAATTTTCTCTCGAAATGATTTCTACTTTTTTTTTTGCAGCATCATTTAACCTGCAAGATAACAATTCCAGTTATTTAAGAAAACTATGTACCTCAATGATAAATATACTTAGATTGATTTCATTCCACATTTTTCTAATAAATTTACCTATTTTTATAGTTGAAATTACTGTAATAGTAGTTTTATTAGAAATTGGATTCAAATTAATAAGATAAATGCAAAGGGAAAACTCATTAGCTACAGTGCGCCACAACTAAGCCCCGCGATTTTAAGTCCTGTCACGGTTAAGGAAGCCGGCGTTAACTCCCACAAACACAAATTCACCTTGAATGGCTGAAAAATTGAGACTAGGCAATTAAGAAATATTACACGTCGATTTCATATATACAAACAGACACAAACGGCGATCTCTTTATTACGTCTTTATAACATCAATTACAAAATTAATTAATTATCTCTAGGGTGAATGAACGGACTCGCTCACACACCAAAACGCGATCAACAAATAAACCAAATTCGAATTAATAAAGAAGAATTACAAAGAGTGAGCGTATTCGCTCACTCGTGAAAACGTGACAATCAAGCGTAATTTAGGCGATAAGAACACGGGCGAATTCGTTCAGTGTCCTCGACGCAAAGAAATTCAGATGCTCTGGAGACCGACCTACGAGGTTTCATCGTACTCTGCTCGTAAGTAACAGCCCGGAGGAGAAAGAAGTGCAGCTCAACTGGCAGAGGTGCTCGAGGAACGATGACACCTACGCCGCTGTCCAGCCTCGAGGATTCAGGAAAGGGCACATTGTTAGGACCTCCTGGCAGCCTTTACCTCGGCAGCGATGAACGTGTGTCGGACTCGTGTCCTGGAGTCTCACGGCACTGTCCCTCTACAGAGTATCCTGGGTAGCTCGAACACACAACAGTTTTTCAGTCTCTCTCTCCACTCTTTTTCCGAACTTTCTTGCTGGATCTTTCTTCTGGCTTTTCTCTCGACTCTCCCTCTGACTTTTTTGTCCCTAGATTCTCGCGAATTTCCTCGCTTATGAATCCCCAGATCAATCACTTCTCCGCTAATTAGTCGCTCTCTTTCTCTCTCTCTCTCTCTCTCTCTGCTCTTCTCGCTCTCACCCTCATTTCGAGGCCCCCTTCTCCAGCCACGCTCACATCTTCCAGGCTCTGCAACAAAACCAAGCTTGAAAGCTATGTTGTCACAGCTATGCCTGGTCGCTGCGTCGGTGTTCGCCCTGTCACATAAAAATAAGATTTCATCAGACTAACTAGAAAATAAACAATGGAAATTTCATAAATCATTAGTCAACAATTATCTAATGGAATTTTAACAGTAACAATTTACAGCAGCTTTTTTGAAAACTAGTATTTACGCTCATAATCGCATTTAAAGTTGAAAAACAAGCATGTACACGAACCAAAGTTTTAAAATATCGAATAAATTTCTAATTGCCAAAGCATAGCGATATACTTTATGGAATGGAAAGTACTAAGTTATCGAATATTAACTCAGCGGATACAAAAAAAATAAACAATGAATGAATAACTGTAACAAACCATCTTTGGTGGGGACAGTTCTCGAAATTATGGTCAAGCCGCCAGCAATTAAAATAAGTTCGGAGGGGGGGATAGATTGTTGGGTCAGTCGGGATCTCGGTCAATCGACCAAATCCCGCTCTTATCCGACGTGGCAGTCTACCTCAAGATAGCATCTTGGCTGCGGCTGGTTGTCTTGCCACGGCTGTGCTAGTCGGAGATCCGGGCAGGTTGTAGTCAAAATCCTCTTTTAAGAGATCCCCGGCAGCTACCAGATCTTCCATCTGCAAAGGGGGGGGGGGGATATCCTCAAAGACACAGTCAAATGCGCCACTGCTATGCCCCCTGCGATTTATTAAAGGGTCCTACTTCGGTGAAGGAAGCCGGCGCTGACTTCCACGGGCACGAATCTACCGCGACGACGGGAAAGGTGAATGGAAGAAGTCGGAATAAATACAAAGAGGCGATCCCTTTATTTAAGCCATCGGAAATTACATTTACAGATTCTTACAAATTACAATGGTGAGTGCATTCGCTCAATCCACAGAACGCGACAGCAGGCGGCGAATAGGAGCGTAGTCGCTAAACTATCATACGCGACGAGTCTATAATATTTAGGAGTGGATTCACTCGACTATCAAACGCGACAATTCAATTCGCGGCGTTGCACCGGGCGAGAGCTGGTACGCGAGAGAGAGAGAGATCCGCGGAATAGAGCAGAATCGAACCCACCGGGTAGCTCCTCCCGCGGCTCGCTGGTGGAGAGCCGGCGTCGGCGGAATCGTAGTCCAGCTGGCAATGGAGCTCGTCGGATCACCGGCGGCGGCTGGTTGGCGGCTGGCGGCCGGGATCGGCTCCTCGATCGTCTGATGGTGATCGCCGGGGAGCTGCTCGAACAGCAGCCAGAGACTTGCCACACAAAGACCCTCTCTCGTCCTGGGTTTTCTCTCTTTTAGCGCGTCGTCCAGTTTATCTCGCGCCGTGACCTGATTAGCGTACGGTACAATAGCTTCTCCATCGTCTGAAGCGTATAACTTTTGGTCTGTTTCATCGTGTGACGAGACTTCCCAAATTCGACGATCTATTTCTTTTTCATTGTTGTTGGTCATAATCTGCGATATTATACTTTTTGACATTTCCTAACCTTCATTATAATGGCCTGTTATTGAGATGTCGGGGGGAGAACTGGGCTTGTCTGCTCTCCATCGTAGGCATTTCTCAACAGCTCTGAGCGTATATATTTGCAGATCTTACAGAAATCAAAAGGCGCTCTGATATTTTTATACCTGGCAGTGAATCAGCCTCTGTCACCTAGGTTGATTCTTCGAGAATAGTGTTTCCTTTTTCTGGCAGCTATTTGTCAAGCCAACTTATCAAGACTGTAAAGTAGGCTTAGACTCGCTTTTCACTTATGAGGGCAGGATGCTTCATAAGTTGTTTATCTAATTCCATGATAAGGGAGGGTAGGCGGTAGTTTAAGGCAAATGATGCGTTAAGATCATCATTTAAGATTTAATAAAGACTAAGTTTATTGATCAAATGAAATGCCCAAACTGCTACCAGTTTAGTTTACTCCATTTGGCAAACAGTTTGAGAATATGCACTAGTGGAAAAAATTAAAGGATCACAAAAAAATTTTTTGACGTTTTTTAACTGGCTGTATTTACTTTGAAAATGGTCCTACTGGAATTAAAAAAAAGGGTTTTAAAGTCTGAAGTTTCTAGTTTTGAGATCTCATAATCAAAAAATTTTTCAAGCAACGTGTTCTGCTCAATCCCCATGAATACCAAACAAAATTTTTTTATGAAATTTTTTCAGTTTTTTTTTTAATCTACGAACTTGGAAAAAATTTTTCTAACTTAGCCACTATATGGATTGGATAACTTGTTTATTCAGCTTTAATTTGCATTTTTGAACAGTTCAATACCCCCACCTCTCGCTGAGATATCGAATTTTGAATGAAACAGGATCTTTTGGTCTTTAACCATCAATATCTCAGCAACCACTGATTGCACAAAAAAATGAAGGTAGGTTTTGAAATCTTGAATAAATTTCCCAAAAAACTAAATGACTGTTTTTGAAAAAAAAATTTTTTTTATTCTTTACATTAATTTGAAAAATCAAGAAAAAAAGGGTATTTGGTGGCTTTTGGGATAATCAAGCGCTAAGTTGGAACTATCGCGATAACCAGAAATGTTAAGCTTGTCTTTTACAGTTCAATATGCCTACAAAAACCGCACAGAGTTTAAATTCAATCGATCAAGCCGTTTTTTTGTTTTATTCAATCGAATTTTTGAAAAAAATTAAAGGATCTCAATTTTGATTTTAAATCATCATAATCTTGAAAAAAAGGCAAAAAAAAATTTCTTTTTAAATTTTGAAACATTTTTTTTAATAACTTCAAAAAATTTTGAACAAAAACTACTGCCGGCATCAGCATTACCCGAAGCGTACCACATGGAGGTTGCCCGGTCGTATTTACGATTATAAATGATCATAATCTTTGCCCTTTTTAACGGGATTCTGTTATTTCATTTCATGATTTTCCTGATTTGTAAATTTCAACTGAATTAAAATTTTAATTAAATTTTAAATAAAGTTGATATACCCAATCGAATTTCGAACTTGATCAGTCATGGTCTGGGGCGGCGTTTCACGAAATTGGAGAACACCTATGCTGATTGTACGCGAAAACTTAACAGCTCAGCGTTACATTTACCAAATTTTGAGATCGATTGTACTGCGCAGACGACGACATCAGAGGGTGTTTATTCTAATGTAAGATAACGCACGTCCACACATAGCCAACATCACCAGACGCTTTTTAGAACAACATGACATCACATTGCTGCGGCACCTACCAATGAGTCCAGACCTTAACCCCATCGAGCATGTTTGGGACATAATGGGTCGTCGTTTGCGCAGAGAGTATGTAAATTTGTACAAGTTGGCCGCATTAGAGCTTGCACTTCAGCAAATTTGGAACACCATTCCGCAACCCTAGATTGCCCGCTGCATTAATATAACTGAACGCTTGGCAGCCGTTATTGAGAACAGGGGTGGCAATACTAGTTATTAAGAGAATGGAAATGCTTTTTTTGAAAAATTTTTTTTCCTCATCACACACACACACACACATACACACACACACATACACACACGTTCCTAGAAGAATGAGTTTGGAGTCATTAACTACGGAGGAACTGACGAGCCTCCGAGTCTCATTTCTCCTAAAAAAAACACAGACATGAAGCGTAAATCCGACCGGGCAACCTAGTTCCAACTTGGCGCTTGATTATCCCAAAAGCCACGAAATACCCTTTTTTTCTTGATTTTTCAAATTAATGTAAAGAATAAAAAAAAAATTTTCTTTTCAAAAACAGTAGTACAGTTTTTTGGGAAATTTATTCAAGATTTCAAAATCTACCTTCATTTTTTTGTGCAATCAGTGGTTGCTGAGATATTGATGGTTAAAGACAAAAAGATCATTTTCCATTCAAAGTTCGAT